ACTGATCTTGTCTTAAAGAGATAGTTCACCCAAAAATGACAATTCTGTCATCATTTACTCACCGTCACGCATGCTAATTGAGTTTCCATTTAATATATTTGATATGTCTGTGCAGGGATCAATGTTTACAAGAGAATAAAAGACTAACTTAAAGCTGTTCATCATATTAAGCAATTAAACCGCTTGACTCACATGAAATACTTTTAATGTTTATATGAACTTTTTGAATCCTCAACATTTTGGTGGAACAGACTTTCAATGGAGGGACAGAAATCTCTCAGTTTTCATTAAAAATACCTACATTTGTGTTTCAAAGGGATTCTCACCGGAGAGATTCATGCACACTCACACTCTCAGTTTCAATGATGATCCATTTATCATATTGTGATGCATCACTGCGCATAGTATTGTGAGATCCATATCATGTATTGTGAAGTAGTATGTGATACCAAGCCCTAAAAAAAGTCAGTCATACGAGTTTAAAATGGCATGAAAGTGAATAAATGATGAATTCATATTTTTGTTTAAGTGAACTATTCCTTTAAGCTGTGACAGTACCATGCAAATGCATCTTTGGTTGTTGTAGTTTTTGAGAAAATGTCAGTTTTGGTGCGGGTCCTGTTGTAGCTGTCATCCTCTCATTCACTCTCACTGACACAAAGGTCTGCTACATCCTGTGTCGGGGGCTGTACTTCCTCATGTTTCTCTCTCTCTTTCTCTTCCTCTCCTTTCTGTCTTTTCTCTCTCTCACACACACTCATGTGCTGTCGTTTCTAGCCCAACGGAAAAATGAAACTCTTTGTAGTAGACATAGGAAACTTCAGTGCGTGCGAGACGCCGTGTTCAACAATAGCTACAGAGACAACCATGAGAGAGAGAGAACGAGAGGGGAAAGATAGAAAGAGCAAGAGAAAGAGAGGTCAAGGGGAGGAAGACAGTGGAGTATTTTTAGATGCCGCATGCAGGGAGGGTGTCAGCTGTAAAACACTGAAGGCTGGAAAAACAGAAGGTATCTGCCTCCCTCCTGACTGCAGCACTGAGCATCTATCCTCCCGTATTATATCACGTCATGAGACGTCTATCCCATGATGCTCTACTGCTGGTCTGTACTGGATTGATCAGTGCTGGATTGTGGTTTCTCAAACATCATAGCTGTGAATATATCAGTGTGGGTCTGTATGTAACAATAAAGCTTGGCCCTTTTAATATTTTTTTGACAATGCTAGATTTTTTCATGTTAATGAAAAATAAGAATGATATCGTAAAACCAGTCAAGAACACTTCTGGGTCATATTTTACCCCCATCCCCTCCAAAAAA